AACCACCGGAAGTACTAAACCTGAAACCCTGTAAGTCTTGTCACTGCTGCTAATTAAACCTTTTTAGTTTTTTAAGAATCTTCCGAGTACTATATAAACAATATTCAATTAACAGTGCAAAGATACTTTCTGCCATTTAATTATTCACATTTTTATTATATTATTTTTTGGGGTTTTTTTTTTCTTTCATTTACTTCTGTTAAATAGATTAATATTAAACTCTTTTATAGTTATCAAAATATGTTTTAAGAGTATTGAAATCTCCTTTGTATAAAAAGGTATTTAATACTTTCTAAAAACCATAAACATGTTTTTATCTGTATATATCTTAGATTTTAAAAATTATTTTCGGATCAAACCGGTAAACGGGTTTGATATCAAATGATTATGTATTATGTAAATAAATTATTATAATGCAAACCCTAATTCATTTGATAATGGTATATGGTAAAATGAGAAATGAGTATTGATTGAAAGATTATAATAGAAGGGTTGATATTAATATTGTGAAACACAAAATAGGAAACAGAATGGTTGGTTTTGAAAATTAAAAGAATATGGGTGATTGGGGAAGAATAGAAAAATAAAATAATTGGGTGGGAAAGAGGGGGTTTCTGCTTCTGCACGAGACAGAAGAAGTAATGATTACCTATTTCTTCATTAAATTCAAAGAGGTTTTAATTTCCAGGTTGAAATTGAATTGGTAATGGAGCCAATCACCCTTTTAAATTAGGATTAGGGTTTATCAGAATTTTCTGATTTATCCCATCTCATAATAAATGACCTTCCTTGTTTTCTTAATTAATACATAGCTACCTTGTCCAATTGTAGGAATTTACAGGCTTGTTTGTGGTAAGTCGGTAATCAACATCCCCATTTCTCTTTTTCCTTCGAACAAAAACCAAAAAAAACTAAACATTGGCATAATTACAAAGTTGTAACCCTAAGCGGAATCTATATGAGACGGTCTTACCACGATCAAACTTATTATATTTGATCTATAAGTGGTAGTATTTTAAAATCACGTGTCTTAAAGATGGTTATTGGTAAATAATTGTGTTGATTACTAGTAACCATGATTTTAGTTACTCTTGAAAAGGAAAACCGATATATCTTTGATATTACATAGTTAAATTCGTTTGAACTATTATCTTATATATATACCAGAACAATTAGATCTCTCTTCGGTTGTTTTTTACCTTTGATTATACTTGAAATATGTTTACTTAACAACCCAATTGAAACAATATTGTTTTTCCAACAAAGTAATATTGTTTTTCCCATATTTAATTACTAAAATATGTTTATCTCAAAAAATTCTCTAATTAGAATGTCCTAATTAATATTAATTTTGTCACAATTGTTTTTAAATACCATTGGATACATTATTATTAGATTGAAATAATGAATTCAGTAGTATTTAAATATAGTCTAACAAAATTAATATCGTAACGTTTTGATTAAAGAACTACTACATATATTTATCATGAAAAGAATACCGTTAATTATGAAACACATATTCTGTGATTAAAGAACTACTATATGTTTATCTTAAAAAGAATATTGTTTTGCCAATCAACAACTCTTAAACTGTGATTCAAAGATATCCAATAGCATTTAAGTATAGTCTAACAAAAACTTCCAATTAAAGAACTATTATATATGTTTATCTTAAAAAGAAAGCTATTATCTCTATGTTGCAGCAATTAATAACTCATAAACCTTGATTCAAAGCTTAATGATCATGACAATGACCTTNATGTTTTGATTAAAGAACTACTACATATATTTATCATGAAAAGAATACCGTTAATTATGAAACACATATTCTGTGATTAAAGAACTACTATATGTTTATCTTAAAAAGAATATTGTTTTGCCAATCAACAACTCTTAAACTGTGTATAGTCTAACAAAAACCTCCAATTAAAGAACTATTATATATGTTTATCTTGAAAAGAATGATATTATCTCTATGTTGCAGCAATTAATAACTCATAAACCTTGATTCAAAGCTTAATGATCATGACAATGACCTGTTTTTGTATGAACAAGGGTGTTCGGACTAGTTAGTATATATCTCAATTAATCTCCCGAATCCTTGAAACTATTAATCGGGTAAGAGTTTTAATAGTCACCCCTATTAGGAGTCATGGAAACTTGAACTCCGAAGATCATGTTAAATCTTCATTTTGTTTTTATACTATCAAATGAATTCAGATTTGGAAAACCACGTTAAATCTTTTTTTATTTTTTTTATCATCAAGCCACCCAGAAATAGTTACGTAACAATGACCTTAATTTCCTTTGTCTTGCAATGTAACTCTAATCTATATATGACTCTTCATAAATACAGGAAAAAAAAAAGAAAAACACAGACAGACAAATTCTTGCATCCATTGAAGCATGCACTATCAGAGAGAGAGAGAGAGAGAGAGAGAGAGAGAGAGAGATATAAATAATGGCGAGTAATCGTCACGAGAGAGAGAGGAGGATGACTGTGATAGCATTTAAAGGCAAAGCCATCATTGCAACAGGACGTCATCATTGACATTGTCATGGAAATATTAATATCAATTTCATCGCAATTGACTATCGTTTTTTGATTTCATTGAATAAATAAACAAGAATATATGTTAGGTTAGGTTGATGTTAGCTTTAGCTATGAATCTTCAATTTCTGTGCGTTTTTCTGCCTTGGATTTTGAGTTTTTTTTTTAATTTATATATACATATACGAATAGTAAAGGAGTGTTAAATGCTTCCTTCTGTATTGACATTTCCTCTGCAACGGCCTTTCATGCTTCAGGTTTCTGTCATTCTGAGAGAAAGAAAGAGAGAGAGAGAAGTCTTTTCTCATCAATCTCTTTTGCCTCTCTTAAATTCTCACCCACCTCTTACTTTCTGTCCTTTTTGTCCTACTCAGTTGTCTTATGCATTTTTGTTCACCCCAATATCAATATCAATATCCCTTTTTGTTTTTCTTTCTCCTTTCAATTCCCCTTCTCCTTTCTAACTACTATATCACCTCTACCATTTATTGCTTACTTCACACATTCTTCTCTTATTCATATCATGTCATAACACGGAGGATCTCTTTCTCATCACCCCCACTCTACTCTCTCTCTCTCTCTCTCTCTAGAGACTCTCTAAGTGTAACTTTATGCGAGATTTAATTATGTTATCGAAATAACATTATCTCATTATCTGAACCATTGGATTATACATGACTTCCATCAACCTTTGAATCATGTTTCGATCATTCATATCGATGCTTGATAATGTTATATATGGCTTCCATTAACATTTAGATCATATGGTTTGAATGATTTTAAGTGAGATTTAATTAGTTAAATTTTCAATTAATGTTACTTCATTTAAGTCATTCAATTATGGTGTTCCTATTAATCAACTTTTTGACCATAATTGAATGATTTAGATCTTGGATAGTGTTATTGTGTTCTTCTCTAGGTAAAACATTTAAGTGGGATTTAGTTAAGTTACTAGAGTAATGTTACCTCAACTAAATCATTCAATTACCACTTAGTGACAGTTCCCCTAAGTGGCAGTTCCCAGTTTTTTACGGATGAATTTTGAATTTTGAAAAATTCATTAACAAAAAACTGGGAGTTACCACTTAATAGTTGTAAGTATAATATTACTACCGTTACATATGATCTACTACTAAAGACATTCTATCACACATTTTCTAGACAACATATGCATGCATCAATGTGACTTCAATAAAAACCCTAGTTTAGAAACAATCGGAAATAAGATATTAATTCTTGAAATTTATAATTTTGCTTTTATATATGAATAATAATAAGCAAGTTAAATACATAAAGGTGGTGCAGTGCTTGAAATTGCAAACAATCTGGATAACTGTTGAAAGAGAAAAGTTCAAAGGAATGGAAACAAAACTAGAGCCTCCTGCCTGTCTGCCATGGCACATTTTAAGAGGCACAATAAAAAGTCCGCGAAACAAATAGTGTTGCTGTAATAATATTAATAATAATAATAATAAGTCTTGAAACTGGAAGAGCAAAGTACATCTCTGTTTAAATTAAAAATTAACCCAAATGATAAACATGCATTCCTACATAATTAACTCAACAAAATTGTCTCTATAGAAAGTCTCTTTCTCTCTCAACATTACTATAACATACATATCCTTAGAATCCTCCTTCCCCCCCTGCAATATCCACAAACACAAAACAAAACCAATTAAACCCTAAATATTCGTAGCCTGAAAAACTGTAAACGTTCAGACTTTCACATTTCCTCAAACTGCATCACAGTTTGAAGAACTGTAAACGTCCACTCCTGAGAATTTCAAGTCCAGAATATATTTATTTAAAGATTGAGAAAGAGAATAGGGTGAGTCACGCAACCAACCGTGCGCATTGCAGACTGAATCATAAAAAAAAGGTCTGGATTTGGGACACTGATCGATACAGTTTCAACTGTGGGCAATAAGTTGGCTCATTGTACCTTTCCCACAATATATATTATTTATTTCAATAAATTTATTTCCATTTTCCTTTTTAAAATTAATTAATTAATCTTTTCTTTTGCAGAATACTTAGTAGTCGTTTTGGTCAACACTGGGAATTGTGTCTCCAATTTGTCATAATAATTAGAGCTGTCATCACATGGGATCGACCCCATTGTATTATCATACATATATTATATATATATGCATGATAATACGAAAAACATAATAATACTTTCCTTTTAAATTAATTAATTAACATAAAAATTGTCATTACAAGATCTTGTAATATCGTTCTTTTCTTAGAAACTCAAATTAATTGTCTTTATTTTCATTTGGAAACCCTAATTATATAAGATTAAATGATGAACATTCACTACTAATAATATTATTATTGATACTAACAAGAAGTTTTAATTAGCAGAAGGAAGATAATATGAAATTAAGAGTTTTTAATTAATTACCTATGATAATTATGGGTGGAAGGGAACAGAGAAACCCTAACCCTAAGATGGATCAATGGTGCGGCGGTCGTCTCCGGCGGCAGCTCTCGGTTGCTGGAACTGACTCAGCTGGCCGATACTGGCGGAGACATTCATGGCAAGAAGGCCAGTGTCGTAATTGTTGCCGGCGTCGAAGCTCCGTATCATCTGCTGCTGATGCTCTCTAGGGAAGAACTGGTGGTGATGAAAGTGATGCTCACGTCCACCACCACCTCCTCCTCCGCCCCCGCCTCCACCGCCAATCAGATTGATGCCCATGTTGGGGTGTTGGTTGTGGGTAGTGGCAGCTGCAGCCGCGGCTGCGATGAGTCCAGCGTGGCCGGTGATGCCGAGGTTTTGATATTTGGATAGTTCGGACTTCGCGCAGCTGAGATCCATCTGCAGCTGGCGGAGACGGTGCTGCAGGAAGGAGATGACTCCGACGCAGCCATAGACGGGGTCGCGGAGACGCATGTCGGCCTCATAAGCAAGAGAATTGACGGCATCTTCCCGCTGCGAGGGCTGCAACTCGTTGAGAAGCTTCGTCACATTACTTGCTCCGAAAACTTTGTGCACGTTTGCAAATTTCTGAGGCTGGTCCGGTGGAAAATACGGCGCAAACACACACTCCGGTTGACACTTCCGCCTCAAAAATTTGCACGCCGCACATGGAGAATTCGATGATGATGCCATGTTATATCTTCTTCTCTGCAACCCAATCCCAAAAAAAAAAAAAAAAAAAAAAATACAAAAACAAATACACCATGTAAAAAGAAATGATATTATATATATGAATTCTTGGTTTAATTAATTTATGCAAGTTAAGTTTACCATGAGGGTGAGAGATCTTGATGATGATGATAGTGTTCCTGGACATGAAAATGGAGATGAAGATGAAGATGATGATGATGAAGGGGTTAACTAGGGCTTCTAGGGTTGAAAATGAAAATTTTTGTTTTTACAGAAAATGAAAATTGCCTTGTGAAAGAGACATAAAATTGGAAAGATTACCCTTTACAGGAGCTGTCATATATTAATCAAATTATTCTCCTATGATTTTTTGTCTGAATTTGAAAATCAAAATGAAATCTCCATAAACTTAGAGATAATAGAGATAGAGATAATTTTAAAGCTGGAAAAGGAAGTTATATAAATGAATAATATAGAGCATGTGTTGATATATTTATAAAACATGAAATTTATTTATAAAATTCTAGAGGATTTTGTTTGAGTCTAAATATGGAGGGGGAGAGAGAGAGAGAGAGAGAGAGAGGGAGCAAGGAAGAAGAAAATAAGGAAGAAAAGTTGATAATGGAGGATTGGATCTCGTGAGAGTTTGATTATTTCAATGGATCAAAAGGTTCATTTTTGAGAGTAGATCTTGCTTAAATTTCATACAGAAATTAATCTTGGGATTAACACAACACCATATGTATATATTATAAAGCAATAAAGAGATAATGTGCAGAAGAAGCAAAATTAAAATAACCAAAAATGGTGAAAAATAGGAGTTCTCTGACTCTTGACTGTATAAATAAGATCTTGGGATGAAGAATTTTTTCGATCAATTTATTCTTATTCTTTTTGCAGCCTTGAAACTTTAATCAAAATCAAATAAAAAAAAAAAATACATAAATAAATGAAAAGTACTTTGTAGTAAACAAACAAGTCAAACCTTTTTTTTTCTTTTTTCTTGGAGCTTTTCTTCTTCTTCAACTCTTGAAGATGGATGGATTTTTGTTTCTTTTTTCAGTTTAAGGGGATGAAAAGGTCATGCAAAATGGTGGGTTCTTGAGAAGGGTTCGATTTGTTCGCCGGAAAACAAAAGGCATGTAACATGCATATAAAGATGGTGGCGAAGAGTGGGAGCGAAATAAGAGCTAAGGCTTAGGTTTAGGGGGATTTTTTTTTTTTTTTGTATAAATATTGAGAGAGAAAAAGAGAGAGAGAGAGGGGGAGGTAAAAGCGACGGAGAAAGGGAAAGTCGCCCAGAAGCAGAGGCTAAGGAGGCGGAGAGAAAGCAAAAGCAAAAACAAAAACACAGAGAGTGAGAGAGATAGAGAGAGAGTGATGAGGTGAAGCTGCTGGCTGCTGCAAAATGGAATGAGTGAATATTGAGTGATAGAGTGATAGATATATTGATTAGTTTATGGAGGGTTTTAATTCTGATCATTTCATCATCGCTCTGTAATAATAATAATAATATCACTGGTTGGTCGGGTCAAGATACCGTAACTTCAATTTTGACACCCTTTACTTGCAGTTTAATTATACTGTAACTTAAATTTTTGACATTGTTGATCAGTAGTTTATTTTATCAATTCAACAGTGATGAGAAATGATGTGTAACTTTAAGTACCCAGTTTGCTAACAGTTTACATTATAACTAAACTTTTGAAGACTGGTTATAAGCAACAATGTTGGCAGATATTGTGTAATTTTATACCCACTTTGCTCATAGCGTTAAGAAATGTTGTATAATAATACAATAATGATTCTTGAATGCATTACTCAATAAATCTTAAATTTGAGTCTCTTTTCGATTGCTAATAAGAGTAGCTATTGAAGCTTTTACTCGGTCGATAGTTTCAAGGTCCAAAAGGATTAGTTGAGATATGTATAAACTAACCTGGACACCTCCGGTCATTAAAAAAAAGAAGAAAAACAAAAAGTTGTTGTATAACTTAAATACCTAGTTCATTAACAGCAACAGCAATGAGAAATGAAGTGTAACTTAGATACCTAATTTGCTAACACTGTTGTGTTGACAAAGATGATCAACCTATCTATGGGACAAATCATTTAAGCCAAAAGTTTCGGGTTTCTTACAGTTTTGTCTCTGGGGATATATCTGAAATTTAAAATTTTGTAATGTGAAATTTCTGATAACAAGTAGTAGTAGTAGGTGTGGGGGTTTGTTTGTTTGTTGGTATTATTGCAGAAACCTGATGAAGGGGATTTAGAGGATGTTCTTGTGTTGTTGTTGTGACAAGACCTTTCCTCCTTTTTCTCCGTGCTTTACTATTTACTTTGTACCCCATTCCTTTCTCTCTCCTTCCCTTTTGGGAGTTTTATTAGGCTTTCAGGTTTTTCATCTGTCTCCCTACCCCACTCATGTTCATATTTTCATATTTATATATTTTCCCACCAATTTCTATTTAGATTAATCAAATGCTCTCATTGTATATAATACAAAAAAAGGGTAATTTCTAATGTCATAGAGTCGAGTCTCAACTCTAGATTTCAATTGATAGAAATTTTTCAACTTATAACGGCGACTATGTGTTATGCTATATTAGTTATAAGACGATATGATGAATATTATTCATTTTCTTATAATGAATTCTTCTATATAAACGTTTTGTAGTTTTTAATGTAGGGATCAATGGTGAGAGTTCTTAAATCGTAAAATTAAAAGCTAATTAATGATCAAATACCCACCTTTAATCTTTGATTCACAAAGGAAGTTCATATTTGAGAATTTTCAAATATCTATATTGAATTATATTTTAACTTTATATGTGTATTAATGTTGAATTATTATACATACGACTATTCCTGCAATTTCGATATAAGGTAAATATAATGTTAATTAATTCATATTAGTTTAGTGTTGGACTATGATTTCAAAATCACCTTAAAAGGTCCTTGATATTAGTGTCAATTAGCTTAAACATATATGTTGTAATCTAATAAATTCATAACCTTGAAAGAATACCTTTATCCTATGATAATAATACTGTACTATATACCATATGATAAATATTTTTATATCTATGTTTTGAGGTTTTTAATGTGTAGATTAATTAAAGGTTAACAATTACTCGTTAACTTTACAAAATATAAAATCAAAAGTAGCAATTAATTGCTCACTTCTAAATCATATATTAAAAATCTATGATATAATATGCACATGAGAATTTCTTATTCTTTGGTGGAGTTCTTTGAAGGGATTGTGCCCATAAGATGAGGATTAATTCGATCTCGTTTAATATCCTTTACAACCAATAATATCATTCAGTAACAGAAAATTTTATAGACGAATAATATCATAATAAACGAGAACACAAATAAATTTCAATTAATTTAAACATGGAAAAAAAAAAATTGACTACAAAAACTTGTAGATTATAATTTATTTTGATTTGTTTAATATAAAATTGAAAGACGTGTGAGAGGTTTCATGTAGTAACAAAGATAAAATAAACAACAAACAAATGCTCAACCCGGTCCGACCCGAAACTGACCCACCATGTGGTCAGGTTAATTGAAATTTGGCCCAATGGGTTAATTGGGCTTAAACCCAATCAACATTATTTGGGCTTAAATGAATTGTTACTAGACTTAACCTATTTAAATCCCATAAAATTATTAATAATTAATAATAGAGAAATTCATCTTCAATAAACAATACTAAATACACAGAGACATAATTTTTGCGTCCTTGTTCTTGACTATGCACAAATTATACGTTCAAGAGGATATTAAGATTTGATCGATCTAAAATAAAATTTCTCTATATACTTTTTAATTCAGTAATTATATATATATATATGTGCGCGTGCAATAACAAAAGCAAAATAAGTAAAAAAATTATATAGACAAAAGGTAGAAGAATTGCATACCATATGCTTGAGAGCCATGTCTAATGAACTCCTAGACATCATGCTTCCAAAAGCATTTCCATGAGAAATTTTTAATAATTAAGAGTAAAATGGGAACAAAATTAGGACTATCCTGGTAATAAAAATATAACACCCTTTTAGGTGGTAATTAAATTACCCCAAATTTATTTATAGTAATTATTATTGATATTTGAAGATTACGAAATATTTTTTTACTTTAAAACCAAACATAGTAATTCTCAAATTAAAAAGATAGAATTACCAAAGTAATATTTTATGAACCTGGACCAAACCCATCCTCTGAGTACCATATACCTAGCCCATCAATGAATTTATGACATCAATCTCAGAAATTTTTCTCTCTCGTCTATCTTTGCAATGAATGCATGACATTGATAGTAATTAAATACGATAATCATATTAATTTCCCATTCTTGTTTATTCCAATAATATTGTCATTCTGAGCAGCTACAATTATTAAATCGGATGCATAATGCCAAGTAAATTATTTGTTATTAGAGTAATGTTACATCCACAACCTCTTCTCACAAACGTTCTCTCACAACCCAAACCCTAACGTGACAGCTCGCAATTGATCAATTATAATTTATCAGGTGGGATCTAGGTGGAACCCATCATGAACTGATCAGTTACAAACTACCACATCGAGGTTATGAGAAGTTAAGTTTGTGAGACTAAGCTGTGGATATATCATTTTCTTTGTTATTATCCTCTTAATTCTTGGGGGATCATAGTGCCCTAATGACGGCTCCATAGATTACAAGACCTTTCTTCAACAAACGCTTACCGAATTCATACATAGAGAATTCTATTTCCTCATGCAATCTCGTCATCTTTGCGATTGAGCGTTGAGATCGCACTGTTAACGGTGTTGATCTTATCCCTTTCGAAATATTCGAGATTGAAGTTTATCCTTGATCCGTCGAACAGTCGTTAGGATTGGTCGTTGCGTAAATTTACTCTGGATCGTACTAATTTTAGGTCAAGCTTATGCTGGATCGAATTACAGCTCTATGAGCTTTTGAGATCCGCGAGCTTTATGAAAAA